AGCAGGCATATTGGACGATAGTTCCGAAAATCCTCCGGTGCGCCCTTCTCAAAGAGAAGGACGGTTTTTGACGTTCTCCACTGGTCGGGAGTCTTCTCCTTCTGAAGGTAAGACGTCAAGTGCGACGCAAGAACCTCGTGTAGACGGTGCCCTCTGGCTCGCAGAAGTTCGACGGAAAGATGATCTGGTCCTGGAGCCGTGCACGTCTTCATGGTCTGTATCGCGATACGCACTTCAGCAGGCAAAATCCTTGGTGGTACTTCTCCAGTGGGAACAAGGGGCATCGGCACGGATGTTGATGAGCGGAAGAGGTTGGTATAGAAGTTCTTCGCGATAGATTCCATCTTGTGTCGGGAAGAAGTCGGAGTCCTGTCTTCGTTCAAAAATGCAGCCAGCGGTACGTGATATTCGCAGAGGTCCCTTCGACACTTCTTGAAACTTCGTCTTCCTTCGGCTGCTTCCAGTATCTTGGCTTGCATGTACTTCCTGAGATCCTCCTGCAAAGCCTTCTGCAACTGGCATTGGCTATCAATCGCTTGAGATGGGTTGCATTCGGATCCTGCCTCAGAAATCTTCTTCTTTCGAGCAATTCTTGGTGGTCTTCGAAATACGTTCCAAGTTCTTCTCAGAAGTCACTGAGGCGCACTCTCCGCAGGCTCGCAGTCCTTTCAGAGGTCGTAGTCGTACGTTGGGTCCTCCTCGATAGGCCAGTTACAATTTTATATGAGCTCTTCCAGCCTGTTACCGTCATAAACGACAGTCTTCCTCTTACGGTACTGTGACAAAGTTTCTTTTCCAGCCTGCGACTGAATCGTATCTTCGCTCGAAGCAGGCTGTGATCGCAGCCACTGCAGAAGGATGGAACTACTGAGACATCAAGCAAGCTCCACCTTCGGTTGGTGAGAACGTGGTTGATCTGCGTGAGTCGTTCCGTTGGTCGATTCCCAAATCCATCGGCGATGTTCCTTCTTCATGAAGATGGAATTTCCTTGGAAAAGTCGCGCGGCGGAGAGAAGCCGAACGAGACGGTTGCCGTTTTCGTTCCGAAGCCCATATCCAAACTTCCTATACTCCTCTTCTAGTAGCATCCCGATCTTCGCGTTGAAGTCGCCCACAACGGACTTGTAGAAGGACTTCTCGTTGCGGACGACGTGCTCCACGTCTTCGTAGAAAGCATCTAGTTCTAATTCGTCAGCTGCTGATGTTGGTGAGTAGCAGGTGATGATGCTGATCAATTGATTGATAATGGTCTTCTGACGTGGAGGTCGTAGTCGTAAGATGGCTAGTCGAGGTGACAGGATCTCATGCGAATCGACAAGATGGACGATAGATGGGTGGACGACAAAACCTACGCCTCCAACGAATCGTGATGGAACCTTTCCACCACGAATGATGAGCGTCCCATCACTCATCTGTCGCACGTCCTTCTTCCTGGACTTCGTTTCCTGCAGAGCGATGATGTGGTACTTGATGTGCTCTGCAGCGTCAAGAAGAGCGTGGAGGTCGGCGTTTGTGTAGACTGTTCTGGCGTTGTAGGTGCAGAGCATGAGGCAGTCTCCATGGCGTGTCGTCCGGGCAGACGTGTCGTTTTTGTCCAATCCGGAAGGCGCCCTGAGTACCCTGACATGGTTCTTGCTACCACCCGGTGCCGTAGGCGGGATCCGATGTGCAGGGTTTATATCTCTTCTTTTTGCTAATCGAGGAATAAAATTCTCCCCTACAAGAGCAGACTTACTAGGCCAACTCTAGATTTCCACGAGGCGATCGCTGACCTCGGATGCGGAGCGGGGAGGGACCGCCTAGCGACCAGAAGAAGCCAGACGGCGGGGGATCAGGCGTGGCTGATAGTAGGCTGGTAAATACACGGCTGTACCAAATTTTGGAACATTTTATTGACAACAGAGTGAGATATGGCATTTTTTAGAGTGGACCTATAATTTTGTCCAGCATTGTAGTAGGAAAACTAGCACCAGTATTACTTCAGAATTTTCACCTATATTTTAGTCACAACTGATCCACAAAAACAAGCCAGAACTTACGATTTGTTGCAAAAAACTGTTTTATGGTATAAAGTCTACCTAACCCGTGGTATAAAATGTGCTTGATCGTGTATAATAGACGTCATCCGTTTAGTCACCTCGGTGCGATGTGTGTTACTGCACACAAATTTGAAATCCTGGATGAGGCCTGGGGTCCCGCCGTGCCGTGCTTACACCAAGTACACAGTACGGCTAAAATTGGACGCCATACTGCTTATTTTCCATATTTTGATGTTTTTTTGCTCTTAGCTTTACGCATGGTCTAGTTCTCGATTATATGTCGCCTTTATACGCCATGCATGCCGCTCCAGATCGAGTATCTCTGTAACCGGGGGTGTCTAGTGATATAACGGTTTCAACCGGGTCGGTAAACAACATGGATTGAGCGACTAATAATTTATCTCAGAAAAACGGCAACAAACAGCAAGAAACAAGAATGCGTAACTTGAACAAGGCTTAACAACGAAACGACGGGCTTTACCCTCTTGACCACTTCGGCAGGCTTACTAGTTACTCTCTATCTAAAGGAGAGATCCGCCTCTATTCGACAGAGTTAGCTCCCGCTAGCGCTTCCTGCACGGACTGAGATCTCCCCCTGACTCCCGGTATTTATACCCTGCCGAAGAGTCCGCGCGGGCTTTTCTTCCCGCCACTGAAGATCGGTAGGTCGGTGATCCGCGCCCTCTGACATCTCAAAATTTATCATTTTTACTTTCAAGAGGAGGCAAATTTGCGATTTTGAAGTAGGTTTGCTTTTAAGAATAATGAGTAGGGTATCTGTTGGTCAGTACGAGTTTCAACTTTCTTCGATCTAAAAAAGCTCCTTAAAATGAACTCAGCATAAAAAACCACTATTTTTAATATCAATGAGAAGTAAGTCAAAACTAATACTGCTCAAAAAATACTCTGCTCCTTCTACACACGACAATACTGACGAAAGCAGACTTACTTCAGAATCTTACGAGTTTGCCCATCTTCTGCCTCCTCCAAAAAGTAAAAGTGATAAATATGAGATATTCGATCTGGAACGGCATGCATGGCACATAAAAACGACATTTTGGCGTTAAATTTTAGCCGTACTCCCAGCGCCTCATCCAGGATTTCAAACATGTATGCAGTAACATACATCGCACTGAGGTGACTAGACAGATGACCTCTACTATAAGTGTTAGCTTGCGGCTATTGCTCACACAGTACGCGAACAGGACTTTTCCAGTTTTCTTTTTTCTGTCAACGCTTTCCTATCATCAGATGTTAGTTCAATAGAAGCAGTGCAGAAAGAGGCATTTGGTGACCGATCCTTATCAGCTGATGCCTTACATTGTCTCCTCATGAGGTGTCAGAGCGATACGGATAAAAATACCACCATAACAAAATAGGGAGGGGGATTACTTGATGCAGCTTGAAGAACTCAGTCTCAACAGTTTACTGAAACGGGCTGCCCGTAGAAACCATAGCCCGGCTGCGATTGCAAAATATTGCCTCTGAAGCGAAAAAATCGCTTCAAAATTCTAAACATATACGCCCCTCTGTTCGTGCCGAAGCAGGAAGTCGTCCTGGGACATGAACGTCGCGAGGCTGTCACTGCCTGCAGCGGCGATTTCCTGTTTCGCTAAAGACCGAGAGGGGTATATGTTTAGAATACTGAAAAAACGATTTGCTGTTTTCTCACTTCATAAGCAATATTATGCAGTTGCACCCGGTTTATGATATGCATGCATGGGTACCCCGCTTCAGTAAACTCTCGAGAATGAGGTGCTCCCAAATCTGCCCGGACGTTGCCTTTGAAGGCAGTGTTCAAGCTAAACCTAACCCCCTCCGATTAGTGTCGATCTTGAATGAGGCCTTAGAAAAGGGGCATCTCCGTTGGTCCGGTCCTCTAACGTTATCTCTGAATGGAGATAAGACGCCTGAAAGTCCCTGACTGGGCGGAGTCTGAGATAAGAGCCCGCCCACCAGGGACTGCCTCCCGACACGTTTTGACATGGTAATGAGCAGAAGATGCACACTGCACACTGCAATGCAACTGCACCCATGCAGTTGCAGCTCCTCCCCGCTGGTCTGCCGACGGGGACAAGCGATTCGAAACTCGTCCGCGCCCTCAAATCAGGGCCCCTTTTTTGTGAATTTTGGAGAGTTCGAAGTACGGAACTGTAATCAGGCCACGGAAAGGCCCCAGAATGACGAAAACATGGGGGGCCAAATTCTAGGTGGACGCTGCCTTGAAGAAAGAAACGTTTGATTATAGCATGGATTGTAACAGATCAATTCTTAACCCATTGACGACGATGTGGACCACCGGTGGCCCACACCTCTTGCAAAATCATACCATTTCTAGGTCTAGTATTTTCTCCACATATTGATATTTTTTCCAATCTTTTGCACTCATGGGGCCTTAGGCTCCGCTGTTCAAGAAAATGTTTATAACTGTTTACAAAACAACCTTGCATTTCGTAAATAATCACAAAACCTTCCCACTCCGAAAGTGTTGTGCAAAACGCGTCCTCCCACAGCGCCGTCACGCAAAATTAGGCGTCGTCGTCAATGTGTTGAAGGCAGGCAAGAAATCGATTTTGAGATTTTATGCTTACCCGGGCCTATTTGCTATGCTGAATCCGTAAATCAACACTAGAAAACGCGAAACGGCGAAAAAGGGCTCTAACACGGGAGGGAAATCAGAGGTGGGCGGAGTCCTCCCCACTGCGAATTCACGCTCCCAGCTTTCGGAGCAATCTTCTCGGTTCCGACTTTCAAGTCAAGCGCTCGCACTTGGCCGGTGGAGATGTTAGGGTGACTAGCGAAATCGATAAAATCACTCCGGACGCTTGGAGCGTGAATTCACCGTGGGGAAGACCCCGCCCACCTCCCGATTTCCCTCCTGCATTAGAGCCCTTTCTCGCCGTTTTCGCGCTTTCCAGTGTGGATTTTCGGATCAGCATGGCGAATAGGCCAGAAAAGCACAAAATCTCAAAATCGACTTTTTGCCCGGACACTGCCTTTAATGTCTTCAACTTCAAACATACTCACTCTTCATCTTCCACTTCCTCTTTTCCAAACATATCCCTGATCTTCAAGCATCGAGTCAGTGCCTCAGTCGGGATGTTCGAAATGGGCAGCTTCGCCGACGAAGATATGTTCATGCAAGGTGGCGGCGCAAACGCTGGAACGCGTAAGCTAACATGCGATTTCTAATAAAAACTGCATCCAAGAACTTCATTTTCAGTTATGTTTTCGGCTCCATTCCGCTGGAACTTATTAACTTCGAGCGAGTTCCAAGAGCAAAGCCCTGCATTCTTACTACACTATAAGTGACTACTTTGGTTCAAAACATAATTTCACAAGTTTATTCTGCATCCAAAGATCAAACATAAATGCTTGAGGTTACATTAGGAAGAAGTCAGAGTGTTCCTGCTTGTCAAATGACAATGAAAAGCTTAATAAGATGCACAAACAATCGAAGAGCTCACTTATCATATTATGTAACCATAGATAAAGATAACTGCCAAAATCGAGTACATTGAAATTTTACTTTGAGTAATGGGGTACGAAGGCCGTTCAAAGACAATCCAAAATGTTCAAAATAACAAAATTTTTAAAGACATATACATAATTTCAATTATTAAGCAAAAAGTTTTCCTGAGATTTCGACCATTCATTGAAGGTGATGCAAGAAAATCAAGAGAATCTCAGTTTTTCAGGCATGCATAGCTTAGAGCCTACCCGATCCTTGCCAACCGGAGCGTTTCGCTGGAATCCACCTCCAAACATCACATTCTTGTCCTCCACGAAGTACGCGTGTTTCTGTAGCAATGCGCGATTCATTGGCATTAATAAAATCAACAGCTCTTTCCCAGCGAGCCAGCTCAGCCCCCCTCCTGAACATAAATAAGGTGATGAATACAAACGCAGCAGAACATTCGTCATTCACCTTTTAGCAGGTGGGAACATTATATCGCGGACATGAGGTATAGATATATAATCGTCACCGTTCTCAGTTGCTTCACGGACGACGTCTGAAACTTCTCATAATCATCCTCACTTTCCCAACAACTTTACTATTATACTCAGACAGCTGGAGCGTGCAGCGCGAGCGCAGTTGCACTTTGACGAGACACCCAGCCGCGGATGGCGCGACACTGGGCGCCGCGTCGCTCTGGTCGTCCGCGTATTCGCAGTTTTCCTGTTTCTCGTTGTTATGCATACTGCAACTCACAGCGAGCGACCTCACACTCCCATGCGTCGAAAGTTTGATTCGAATATGGATCCAAGATCAAAAACCTAAATCCAGCACTCCCGGGCACTACCGAAGGTTGACTCCTAGTGGCAACAGCAATCCACACCTTTTCTGCGATTAATCAACACCAGAAAGAAACACTCGGCTCCACAACGAGGCAGCCTTGCCATTGCCTCGTACCTTACGAAGGTATCCTTTGCGCTTAGAGCATGCAAGAATTGCAGGCGCGGGGGTTGCACGAATAAAGCATAAGGCCTCGGGCAGAGTTCACGCGATTTGATCGCCGCGATTCAATCGCGATAAGACAACTGTTACGAGTTCATTGCATGCCGACCAGCTTGGATTTCGGTTGTGATACTTTTCCAGCCCAAAATTCTTGAATGTAATATGAAAATGAATGGAAATCGCGGCGATTGAATCGCGACGATCAAATCGGAACTCTGTCCGAGGCCTAAAGGCGCGCTGTCGCGCCCTAAAAAGGATGGCGCGAGGGTCGCGCGCGCCGCACGCATCAAATGTCTGAGGCATCCGCCTTACTTGATCCTCTTAATCCATCTTCATCTGCTTGATCCGCTTCGTGCAAAATCGCGCTACCCTTTTGTCATTTAGCGTGGCGTACAGCGAGCGCAACCATACAAAACCTCTTTGTACCTATGCGGCGCCAAATGAAAAATTACTGAAAGTACGTTTTGCACGAAGCGGATCAAGCGAACCAAGTGGATTAAAAGGATCAAAGGGATCAGGTAAGGCAGGTGTTTAAGATGGCACGCGTTTGGCGCAGTGGCAGATAAACCCCTAAAGAAGGCACACTTTTTTGCCGCATTGAGCATAAAGGCGCGTGTGCCGCACGCTCAACTGTCTGAGTACAGATTGCAAGCCCCTTCCGCAAACAGATATAAATGTTCATTTTGAAGCGACCACAAACAACTCCTATACGCTTATTAACCTCACGCAATTGTCGGAAAGTCTGCACACTAAAAGAGTTGGACACCTCACTTACATGATCCACTTCATCCACTACTTTGGTCCAGTCAATGAACTGACCACAGGGGACTGGACGACAAATCAAGTGAACCAAGTGGATTAATTGGACATTTGATTTGCTATTGGTCAGTTTACTGATTTGACCAATAGCGAAGTGGAAGAAGTGGGTCAAGTATAAGCGTGTCTTACATCGCAAGCCTTGAACTCTCTGCCCGATGTGCCGCGGGCCTTTCTTTCTATCTGGCAGGCCGCGGTGCAGTGTGATCTCGAGAGAAGTTATCGCAAATGTCGCGGCCAATATAATCACTCAAAGCTGAATCCCGTAACATGACGGTCGTACTGAGCACCACAATTCTCGAGATCTTTCTTACGTTCCCAACCTTTGCACACAAAAGCTGGACACGCTTACCTAAAATTTTATCCACAAGATCATAAAATGCGGCTTCCTCTCGTTCTTTTAACTGTTTCCATTTCTTATGCCCAAAGTACGCAGCGAGTACAGCTGCAGCAGCTGCAAAATGATTGTAGTGGAGGTGCATCATTTTACTTCGTGATACCTGCCAGCAGGAAGAAACTGGGCACTATTGCGTACATATACAAGAACAACACGGTGTCGCGGACCGCTCCTAGAAAAGCTATATCAATTCCTCAGTCTACTGCAACTCAAGATGTTGATAACATGTACCAGAGACAGCATGGGCGACACCTTTGATCGCTTCTTGTCGTGCAGTTCCAACATAGGCAACAGCCAAAAGAATGAAAAATATAGTCAGAACCAACATCAGTATTGTTGAAACATCTCTGCAATGCTATTAAATCTTAAAAAACAAATTTTAAGAACGATAATGTACAAGGTACTTTTGGTTGATAAAATTGAGGCTGGCGCAGTCAACACACCCATCACGAGCTACAGGGAATTAGAAGTCACTTACCTTCCCACGTTTTGCTGTTGCACCCTGATACGCCCGGTGCGAGGGTCTCGATCTACACGTGTTTTCGTGGAGCCGTGACGAAGCTCGTACTCCGACCCGGGCACTTTCCCAGCTTTAAACTGAAATGTATATATATCATCCAAGATTCGCTTGCACCAAAATGAATGGCAGTTGTCTGGTTATTCGCTTTTGTCTGGTTGGATTCGATTTTCGAAGGGAGGTCACCTGTGCAACTTTAGATAACCATTCATAAACAGGACTCATAAGTCGCCTTCTTGCCTTTTCTAAAGCAAAGTTCCATTTGACATTTGAAAGTCATGCGAAGTCCCCTCTCAAAAATGTACCGTCATTTTCGTCCCCCAGTCTCAAAAGGGTATTCTTATTCTTTTCCAACTACTGAAAACTGGATATAGAACACCAAATGAGACTACGCAACGTACTGCAACAGTTGGAATGGCGGGAAAGTATATATATATATACATACATATATATATATATATATATATATATATATATATACATATATATATATATCTTATATATAAAGCTGAATGTCTGTTTGTATGTATGTATGTATGTCTGTATGTATGTATGTGTGTACGTATGTTCCGAATAGAAAATTCCATTTCTGAACCGATCCGGACCAAACTTGGCACACATACACTACGGGCCCCGGCGGGTGTCATAGGCTACTTTTCGTCATCGATCGATATCGGTTTTATCGATTTTTATCGATTTTTTTGCTGAGTTCACCTACGGGGCTGGGAGTTGGCACAGGGGGGTAATCGAGCATGGGGATTCCGAATACAATATTGGTTTTCAGGATTATCGATTACTTTTATTGATTTTATCGATTTTTTGCAAAGTTTGAGCTACGGGGCTGGGATTTTGCACAGGGGGGTAATCGAGCATGCTGATTACGAACACAATATTAGTTTTCAGGATCGTCCATTACTTTTATCGATTTTATCGATTTTTTTGCTGAGTTCACCTACGGGGCTGGGAGTTGGCACAGGGGGGTAATCGAGCATGGGGATTCCGAATACAATATTGGTTTTCAGGATTATCGATTACTTTTATTGATTTTATCGATTTTTTGCAAAGTTTGAGCTACGGGGCTGGGAGTTCGCACAGGGGGTAATCGAGCATGGGGATTCCGAATACAATATTGGTTTTCGGGATTATCGATTACTTTTATCGATTTTATCGATTTTTTGCAAAGTTTGAGCTAGGGGGCTGGGAGTTGGCACAGGGGGGTAATCGAGCATGCTGATCATCCCCAAGGGGGGTGATCAGCATGCTCGATTACACCCCTGTGCCAAATTCCAGCCCCCTAGCTCAAATTTTCAAAAAATCGATAAAATCGATAAAAGTAATGGACGATCTTGAAAACTAATATTGTATTCGTAATCTGCATGCTCGATTACCCCCTGTGCAAACTCCCAGCCCCGCAGGTCAAACTTTACAAAAAAAAATCGATAAAATCGATAAAAGTAATGGACGATCCTGAAAACTAATATTGTGTTCGTAATCAGCATGCTCGATTACCCCCCTGTGCAAAATCCCAGCCTCGCATGTCAAAATTTACAAAAAATCGAGAAAATCAACAAAAGTAACCGATAATTCTGAAAACTAATATTGTATTCGGAATCCCCATGCTCACTTCCCCCCTGTGCCAACTCCTAGCCCTGTAGGTGAACTCTGCGAAAAAATCGATAAAAATCAGTAAAATCGACATCGATCGACAACGAAAAGTGGACTGTGACACCCGCCGGAGCCCGAAGTGTATGTGTGCCAAGTTTGGTCCGGATACGGCGGAGCCGGGTAAGCCAGCTAGTATATATATATATATATATATATATATATATATATATATATATATATATATATATTAGGTTGATGCATAATTCTTGCACCAAAATTTTAAAAATTCTGTTATTTCATCCAGCTGCGATGAAAAATTCTGATTCGATACATAGTAGAGAGAGCAAATCTTGCGCTTTCAGATGGTGCTCGAGCCAAAGGTCCTTGAGGGCATATGGCAACGATACAAGGTGAACAAGAGAAATACCCAAAAAGTGATTTTTTGATTTTTAATCACTAAAATTGCTAAAACGTCTACTAGAATTTAAATTTATTTTTGGTCTAAGTTTTATGGCATGCTCTTTTTAGCTAAGAGAAGTTGGTAGTGATTGGATGTCTCCGCGAATATTTACGAATTTCGATTTTTTTAAAATGACTTATCGATTTTGTTTCAAATTGATTTTCTAAAATGTACCATAAAATACTACTTTTGATATACATAACATAGAGCAGAACATGTAAGTTGAATAGTTTGTTTAAGCATTTTTAAAATAATTTTTTTGTATTTTTTGGTGCAAGAATTGTGCATCAACCTAATATATATATATATATATACATACAGTGACCGCCAAAAAGTTGCGGACAAACCCCTCTCCCTTTTTCATCGCTCTTTTTCAGAGTGAAAACAAGGATGAAAAAATGTAGTGATTGCATGAAGTGATAGAGCTCTTCAAGATCTACAATCTAGACTTTGAGTTTTTCGAGAAACATGTGTTCTAAAAATTTTAAGAATCTTTTTCTAAAAAAATTCCGAAAATGGCCGCGTCACAATGTCGCGGACAATAATTCTTCGAACGCAAAAATTTTCTTTTGAGTCCTATTTTTAAGCGGAAACACAAGTTATCCGGACGGGTAAGCATACTACTATGCAGAGCTTGTCAAGAACTACACACTGGTTATGGTTGCTTCCCCAAAGAACGCAAGCTTGAGTTTTATTTTAGTTTTTTTTTAAACAACTTCTAATTTCCTTTATCAAACCAGATTTCTTCACACGGAAACCTGTTCAAGACATCCCAATAGAGCCGTTTGGATAAAATAGATGCTCTTTGCCATACTCTATGCATCGGACGTGTGCTGATGAGTTTCTTGGCTGAAAATGGCCCTTGGCAGTGCTTGCACATGACCCCACCTGCACCTCACCACTAACTTGTACTGCTTTGCAGGCTTGTAACTCGGCCTGCAGTCAATATTTGAGCCTGCAATTAGGCTCATTCGAAAGAACGAGACTTGCTCTACATGATGGTATGCAAATGAGTTGAGTTTGAGAAATATCAGAGATTTGGCGGATGGGGTGGTAGAGGGCAGCTTCAGTTGTAGTCTAAGCACTTTTCAGCTAAAGTTGAAGAGAGCTCCTTTCGCTACCAATTTTATCCTGGAAGTTCAAAACTGTCAATTTTCTTGTAGTAGATCCATTTCGAAGCTCTAAGGCTGCTCTGGTGTTCATAAGAGCTTTCACTCCAATCACCTCTAAGGCTGCCCTCTACCACCCCATCCGCCAAATCTCTGAAAGTTCTCAGACTCAACTCATTTGCATACCATCATGTAGAGCAAGTCTCTTTCTTTCGAATGAGCCTAATTGCAGGCTCAAATATTGACTGCAGGCCGAGTTACAAGCCTGCAAAGCAGTACAAGTCAGTGGTGAGGTGCAGGTGGGGTCATGTGCAAGCACTGCCAAGGGCCATTTTCAGCCAAGAAACTCATCAGCACACGTCCGATGCACAGAGGATGGCAAAGAGCATCTATTTTATCCAGACAGCTTTGTTGCGATGTCTTGAACAGGTTTCCGTGTGGAGAAATTTGGCTTGATAAAGGAAATTAGAAGTTGTTTTTTGAAAAAAGTAAAATAAAACTCAAGCTTGCGTTTTCTGGGGAAGCAACCATAACCAGTGCGTAGTTCTTGACGAGCTCTGTATAGTAGTGTGTTTACCCGTCCGGATAACTTGTGTTTCCGCTTTAAAGTAGGACTCAAAAGAAAATTTTTGCGTTCGAAGAATTATTGTCCGCGACATTGTGACGCGGCCATTTTCGGACTTTTTTTAGAAAAAGATTCTTAAAATTTTTAGAACACACGTTTCTCGAAAAACTCAAAGTGTAGATTGTAGATCTTGAAGAGCTCTATCACTTCATGCAATCACTACATTTTTTCATCCCTGTTTTCACTTTGAAAAAGAGCGATGAAAAAGGGAGAGGGGTTTGTCCGCAACTTTTTGGCGGTCACTGTATATATTAGGTTGGTCCGAAAGTTCTGTCCCACCATTTTCAAAAAATCATAACTTCTTCCTAACACAATGTTTTTGCAAGGGTAAAACCATGTTAGAAAGAGCAGTTCATATGCTTTCCAAAAATGAGTTGGCTGCTATTCATTATGCTCTGATTGTAGAGATAAAATTGGGGAAAGAAATTCATTTCAATTTCGGAATTTTTAAGCAAGCCCGTTAAAAAATCCAAAACAGTGCCATAAAATCCAAAACAGCCATTATCCTAGAATATTTCACCCCTTTTTTCTGGCTGAGCAAAGTTCGCGTTGATCGAGCTGTTCTTCGGAAAGTTATGATTTTTTGAAAAAAATGTCAAAAAACCAATTTTCTTAAGAAACTGATTTTTTGGCATTTCTTCTTGAAAATCATAACTTCTTTCAAAAGAGCTCAATCAGCGCGAATTTTGCTCAGCTGGGAAGAGGGGATCAAAAAACCTAGGATACTGGCTGTTTTGGATATTATGGCACACTTTTGGATTTTTTAACGGGCTTGCTTAAAAATTCCGAAATTGAAATGAATTCCTTTCCCCAATTTTATCTCTACAATCAGAGCATAATGAATAGCAGCCAACTCATTTTTGGAAAGCATATGAATTGCTCTTTCTAACATGGTTTTACCCTTGCAAAAACATTGTGTTAGGAAGAAGTTATGATTTTTTGAAAATGGTGGGACAGAACTTTCGGACCAACCTAATATATATACATATATATATATATATATATGTATATATATGTATATATATATATATATATATATATATATATATATTAGGTTGATGCATAATTTCTGCACCAAAATAGGTACAGACCGCAATAACTCGGAATAATCCTATATCCCAAGTAGGATCCGATATATCATTAGATAGAGCAAACCTAGCTCTACAAAATTGTGACTCAAGTTTTGCACAGCTTTGATCCAAGCGAAGATTGAAGCCAAAAACGAAAAAGATCCAAGCGCCCCAAAAAACCAGGAAAAAATTGAAAGTCAGTTCGGAAAAATCCTTTAAAATTTCTAACTTGCTCATACATTGTCATTTCGTATAAGACATTCCTCTATGCATTTGCTGTATTTTTCTCTCAGCTAGAAATTGAGAAAACGTTTTCATGTTTTTTCCAAAACAATGCTGAGATGTTCCAGCGCTGA